AATATAAGCCAAAAACTATAAAGTTCATAGAAGAAAAAATAGGATCAATGCTAGAGGCCCTAATACATGGCATTAACAGCATACAAACAACACAGAAACTCCAGAAGATAAGCAAGATAACTGGGATCTTCTAAAAATTAAACACTTATGCTCATCAAAAGACTTCACCAGGGAGGGGGGAGAGGATGTCGATCAGTGCAAGATACACTGCTGCTGAGGAGAGGAGCGTCAACAGCAGCACCATGGTGAATCTATTCTGTTGGAATCTGAAACACTGGAATGACAGAAATGGGTTCTTTACAAAGTAGCTCCACAGAAGAACCTTGAAGGCTATGGGGGATTTGCAAATCTCCCAAATCAAGTATACAGAAAATCAGTTGAAGAGAGGGTCTGAATTCACAATCTGGATTGGGAAAGTCACCGTTAATCAACTCATTATTCCTCACAAATTTGTATTCTCCAGAGTATCCTGGTCCTTCCCATAGTATAAAAAAGACTGTACAGGTGGAACAATACAAAGTTTTAATCAAAGAAGGTGGAGTTCAGTTACTGCTCATGATAGTTGATACCCCAGGATTTGGAGATGCAGTGGATAATAGTAATTGCTGGCAGCCTGTTATCGATTACATTGATAGTAAATCTGAAGACTACTTAAATGCAGAATCTCGAGTGAACAGACGTCAGATGCCTGACAACAGAGTGCAGGGTTGTTTATACTTCATTGCTCCTTCAGGACATGGACTTAAACCATTGGATATTGAGTTTATGAAGTGCTTACATGAAAAAGTAAATATCATCCCACTTACTGCCAAAGCAGACACACTCACGCCAGAGGAGTGCCAAAGTTTAAAAAACAGATAATGAAAGAAATCCAAGAACATTAAATTAAAATATATGAATTTCCAGAAACAGATGATGAAGAAGAAAATAAGCTGTTAAAAAGATAAAGGACCGTTTACCTCTTGCTATGGTAGGTAGTAATACTATCATTGAAGTTAATGGCAAAAGGGCCAGAGGAAGACAGTATCCTTGGGGTGTTGCTGAAGTTGAAAATGGTGAACATTGTGATTTTACAATTCTAAGAAATACGTTGATAAGAACACACATGCAGGACTTGAAAGATGTCACTAATGTACACTATGAGAACTACAGAAGCAGAAAACTGGAAGCTGTGACTTAGAATGGAGTTGATAACAACAAGAATAACGGGCAGCTTACAAAGAGCCCCCTGGCACAAATGGAAGAAGAAAGAGGGGAGCATGTAGCCAAGACGAAGAAGATGGAGCTGGAGATGGAGCAGGTGTTTG